CGACCCTGGCCAATTCTTGGGATTTCAATATCACGTGCGTAGGTCATGTCAATGTTTACATCCACTCTATCTTGGATTTGAATTTGCTTTAGGTTTGCCAAATCCCGAAACATAAAAGGCAACTTATCATACGTCTTTTGCGTCTGACGTGACTTTAGATCTGTTAAGAGCCTTGAAATCGAAAAACTATGCGTCTGGTATGCTGGTAATATTCATTACTACATGAGAGGTTCCATACAGTGCATTACAAGTCTAACATAGCATATATCTACTTTCAGATAATATGGGACATTAGAAATAAACTTCAGAAGGTGGATGAGTTCGAAATTTTGACGACTGCTCAGCAAAGATACCGAGCCTACATGCATTCTCTCATGGGATGGATGAAAAATATTCATGATCTGTCAATTGTGAGACCAACGGCTATTTCGGATTTGCGATATTCCCATAAACGTCCAGTCACAGGTGACCTCTATGTTAGAACTTCCTCTACATTATCAGCAAAGGACAGTCAATCCAAATATGAAATCGGTTTTCTACTTATGTTCTTCCTTTAGGGTTTTCGTGGGCCAATCATCTTTTTTGAAACATATTGTTCATAATTCTTCTGAATATTGCTGAAGTTTTTTCCCAACACCAAATCGTTATTTTTAACACCTCGACACGTGTTTCGATCACCAAGTGATCNTCTGCATTCGAACCGAAATACTGCCGAAGGAGATATCACCTCGATGTAAATAGATGAACCCGCAAGTACCGATAAATGTTAAAATTAGCTGAAACAGATGCGCACTATCAAAGAGAACACGAATTTTCATGTTTTCCATACGAGCTTTTTCTTTCTCGTTGTTATACGAAACATGAGGATTACTACTGTACAAACAATTCGCGATTATCAGGGTACAGAGCCATTTTCATATCTTCAGAATTATCTGATTGGCTCGACCGTTACCCCAGAGAAAAAAGTCCAAAACTGTGAGGTCTGGAGATCTGGCCACCCAGATCTCCAGACCTCACAGTTTTGGACTCCTCACAGTTTTGGACACCTCACTCTATAAACGGACTACCACGGCCTATCCATCGGTTTGGAAAATGTTCGTTAAGCCATTGCCTCACAGCTCTGGCATAATGAACTGAATACCCATCTAACTGGACAATTAAATTTGAATCACTCTGAATTTCAATAAAAAAATCACTAATAAAAAATCCCGATTTTCGTCTAAGAAAAAATATCGTAGTATGCCCTGAAACTTTAATGAACATTTCAGATCTTGTCCTTGTTCAGGTAGACCTTTAAATTTTAGGCGGGTGTTTCCATTAAAAATAGGTCACTGTATTACTTTTAAAATTTGGATTTTTTTCAATTATGAGGTCAGACCTCATATTGATTTTTTCCAACTTGGTAGAATGATTTGTGCCTCATTTTGAGATTCAGTTTCATATTGTTATTTTTTTTGCTTGGAAGTCATGAAAACTGTTTTTTCTGAGTTGATTGTTGAACTGGGGTCATTTAACCATTCCTCGTCAATCTTTTCCATGTCGTTATTTCCATTTGTTCTCTTTGAATTCTCATATTTCACCCATTGAACATATATTTTCAAAATCATGAACATAGAACGAATATAAAATTGGGGTCAACACCGGACCTTGTGTGACACCATTTTCTCATTTCATGAACTATTCCAGGAATCAATTGGTTATCTCCATATTACGAGTTTTCCAAGATAGGCAATCTGATGGAAATTCCAGAAGACTGGGATAACCACTCTATGCAATTCTTAACTAGTAGTGAAGATGGTACAATTTTGATATGGGATCTCCTAAAGAAACCGACAGTTCAAGCAGGAGGATTCAAACCAAGAAAGTTGAAAAGATTGAAGAAACGCCCAAGTGCCCTGATGGTAAGATACTTTAGGGAAAAACTGTTTTCAACAATAGAAAATAATTCTTCACACGATGTTTCCAGGTAGATTTGTCACCCTATCATATCCTCCATTTGAATCTCAAACCGATATACAAGGTGAACGTTTCCAGGAAAGACAAAAAATTTCTAGCTATCTCCAACTCTCACGTTAACTACTGCTCAATGAAGTACACAGAAGTTAATCCTGAGAAGAGCAAAAAGAATGGACTCCACGAAAGGATAATATATACACCTATTTTTGATAGAAGTTCCCAAAAGGCTCTATCGCCGGAAATGCATATCGGCAGTATGGAAGGTAAACAACAAATTTTTTGAAATACTTTGAAATACTGTTAGTAGAATAATAAGTAACAGTTATTATGAACATGTCTGAGGAAACACCTGTATTGTGAAACACGTTTTGCGGGTTTGTAATCTGTTTAGTAAGGATCTCACAATAAAATGTTGATCGAAAACTTTATGGATTGATATTAAGTATCTGTCAATTTCATCACATACAGTAATATACAATAATATATATCATTTTTATATTTCTGCAGGAATACTGAAACGAATCACATATAATTATTTACAATAATGAGTATTCTGTGCTGAAGAAGTTAAAAGTCTAACTGATAAATTCTACCACAGGGAAATATTTAGAATATTATTATATTTGTGCCACAATACGAAAAAAAAACATATTGAAACCATCAATAATATAAAATGATGTATATGGTTTCAAGTGATTATCTTCTATGCTGGGATGAGTTCCTTTGAAAAATTCACACCCAATG